AATATTTGGCCGGAAGGCCGTCCGGTCCAGCGCCTTCTCAGCTTTCATCTTTTTAATAGCCTTTTTATCTCTTCCTGTGTTATTATCTCATCTAGTGCTGCTCTTTCATCTTCTACAATTTGTTCCAGATGGTGTTTTTGCAGAAATTGATCTATTTCTTGTTCTGTTTCCTCTCCTCTTTTGTACAAATCCTTATAATATCTTTGGAATATTCTTTTTATTTCTTTTGGTTCTTCCATAATCATATCTCCTTCTTTTATTTTACTGATCGTATTCAACTTCTTCCTTTCTCTCAACTGCCACGCTAGATATTTCCCTATCTTATTTGCGGACTCAAAGTTCTTTTGATTCATCCTTTTAATTTTCCACTCTATCTCTTGGTTAATTATTGTAGCAAATTTAGCTTGTAGTATTTTTAAGTTCTGTTTTAAACTCTCTTCACTAGGGTTAACAGTTAATTTTCTTTCATTTTCCATAATCTGTATTAAAATCTGCTCTTTCTTTTTTTCTTTTTCTTTTCTTAATTGGGTATTTTTCTGAATCAAAAAACCCCTCATGACCGCTTTTCCTGCGTCCCACACCATCTCTATGGAAGTTTCTCCATTTAAATTCCACCTAAAGTATTCTTCAATTGTTTCTATAGCCTTATTTACTATCCTTTGATCATTGAATAAATATTCATTCATTCTCCATCTGGCTGTTTTAACCTCTCTACCTTTTAACTCCATGGAAACCGCACTATGATCAGATAAAGTTCGAGGCCAAATTTCAGACTTAATTAAATTCTGTACCAATTCCCTCGAGACCCAAATACTGTCTATCCTCCCCCAGCTCTGATTCGGATTTGAAAAAAAAGTGAATTGTTTTGCAGTAGGGTTTTTAAACCTCCAAACATCCGTCAATCCCAAATTATTTACCATGTCGAAGAAAGATCGTGGTAGTTTACCTTCTTTCCCATCTTGTCTTTTTGTTAATCTATCCATATTCGGCGTCACCACCCCATTAAAATCTCCCATCAATATCATTTTCTGGTCCATCCATTCCATTAGTATATTATCTAATTCCAAAAGAAAGCTGATTTTTTCTCATTCGGGCGTATATTCCAACCACAACTATTTTTCTCCATGAAACACCATCTGTACCACCACTACTCTCCCATGTTCATCTTTATACAGTAGTTGCGGGTCATATTTTTCCTTTATATAAATTACTACCCCTCTTTTCTTAACCTTGTCGGAGGTCACAAAGTCCAATCCCAATCTCTTATTACTTAATACTCTCTTGTGTTTTCCTATAACATGCGTTTCTTGAAGACAAATTAAATCCCAATTCTTTTTCAACAATACATGTGCAATCTGATTCCTCTTATTTTTATTGTTCAAACCATTGACATTCCAGCTTATTGTTTTTAAAGCCATCTATTAAACTATTCTAGCTAATTTAACTAGATTAAATAGAGACTACTGTTCCTTGCTTTCCTCCTCTTGTTCTTCTCCTTCTCCTGTTAAGCTCTCCTCTTTTTCTTCTTCTTCACTCCCTTCACCCTCCTCGTCTCTCTGTCGTTCCTCCCTTTCCACCTCCCCTTCAACTTTTCCCAGGTCCTTCTCGTATCTCCTCGCAAATTTTTGGAGTTCAATACTGGTGCTTAATTTAAACCTTTTTCCTTAAACTAGAATGAAATGCCGTCGGGAAACTCCCATCTATACAATATCCCATTCTTCTTCAATTGGTTTGTTAATTTTTGTATGGCTCTCTCCTTCGAAGAAATCTCGAAGGAATTTCTCTAAAGATAATAATTGGGCTTCCTCCAATATATAACCTTTTATGTGGTTCTGTTGCAGTATTTCATTTCTTATTTCCAAAGTGTTGAACATGACAATTACATCACCTGGCAGCTTTTTCTTTCTGGCTCTGTCTGATTTTGGTCTTATTCGAAAAATATTTACTAAATGGCAGTTTACCTCCTCCTCGCTCTTATTTAACCAAGTTGCCAGCTCTTTTATCATTTTAGATCTAATATTCTCATTTGGGGTCTCTGGTACACCCCTCAGTTTTAGGTTGGTTTGATTTTGCCTCATTTGCGTCATAGCCATATTGTCCAACAACTCCTCCTGCACTCTTTCTATCTCTTTAACTTCTACTCTAATTCTATCCACCTCCTTCTTACTAATTTTCGTATCTTTTTGCACCTTTTTCATTGAATCTTCCAAAACCTTAGTTCTTACTGATAAATCTTTAACCTTTCCTGTCAATTCCCCACCACTCCCTCCAATTTCTTATCCAAAGTGTCCTGTACCTCAAGTAATTTTCTCTCAATATATTGTTCATTATTTTTGAATTCTTTCCTTATTTCGGCCATCAGACTGCTATAGTCTTTAATTTCTTTACTTTCCTTAGCATCTTCTTGCCTCGACGACCTCCTTTCCGCTGGTGTTGCCACGCCTTTTTTTGCACCGTTTGTCATTTTGTAGGCTTGAAAGGTCTTGGGGTCCACCACACTAATGTTATTCAAAAAGGGATGAGGCACAGGATCACCGATAATCTCTGATGGGTTAATAAGTTACCGGGTCTGGTGTTGGGGTATAATAGCAGATATTAGGCATCACACATCAGGCTATACACAAAGTTTTACAATCTTTACCTTTTACAGTCTTTGTCCTCTTAGAGGGTGGTATTATAGAGGTCTGGCGTCACCAAAAATTTTTCTTTACTGGAGACTTGGCAGTTCTTCAGGAAGTGTTCTTTATGCTGGTTTAAATTCTCCTATTTGGCTTTTGGCGCATGTCCCTTTAAATCTCAAATACATGCAGAGGCGTAGTAGATCAAGGACAAGATGGAATGGCGGATAGCAAAGCCAAGTTAGGTCTCGAAATGGCTTCCTCCTCCCTTTTTATACCCATGGGAAGTCACTAACATAAAACCAACATTAAGGTCTGGGAAGACCCATGCTTTCTTCCACCCACTTCAAACAAAAAGTTGATGTTAACAATAACGTCCTCAAAAAACCTGTCAGTTAAAGCATCAACCAAATGCCCCAGAAACCTCCTTTCCTCCTCTCAAACCCGGTAAAGAGTCTCTCTATCAAAAGAAGAAAACTCAGTATTACCTTGCTTCCAACTCTTTGTACTTTGTACTTTGTAAAATGTACTTTATTATCGAGGATATTCCTTCCCCTCGCTAGCGGTTACTTTCTTGCTCTTTCATTCACGTCTGCCAGCTTTTCGCTTTACTCCTTTATCATTCTTACCGCCAGTAGTGAATTCCTCCTTCCTTTGTCTTTAATTACTTCTCCGCTGGGTACTTCATTCAACTTCATTCAACGTTCCTTTTGTTTTTACTTTGATTGTTTTCCAGTGTTCTCCCTCCTCTGCTTTCATCAAAGCTTTAGAACTATTTCCCAGCTTTTCCTCTGTTGTTGGAGGTCCGCCGCTTTCACTCGGAGCCTGAGGCTTCACAGCATGGAGTCTGATGTTTCCCCTTCTCGCTGCGGCTCCAGCCTTGTTAAACGCCGGCAACACAGGCGAGCACACGCAGCCTTGCTGGGTGTTTTGACCAACAGGATATTCCACCTGTGGTTTAGGGGTTCACGGAGCCTTCGTGACCCCTCTAAGACCCCCACGCTGTTCGAGGCTCCTCAGACGAGTTGCCTCGCGCTCCTTCCCGTGGCCGCGGCGTCCCGGAAGCTCCTAAAGGCATCTTGCACCTGCTTCTAGGGAAATCCAGACTCTTCCACCCACCCTCTCTGCCACGAATGGGGGAGAAGTCAGATTCAGTTCACATTTAAAGGTGAACCTACCCCATTCACACTTTCAGAAACAATGCACAAACCGAAACGCAGCTATCCTTTGAAATTCACACTTCTCTGAATTTTGCAATGCAGCTCTCCAGTCAAGTAACATGGAGGGGAAAGCACCACATACTGCGATAAAGCATGCATTAAAATGTTTGTGAAAATAACATGCAAAAATGTTTGTGAAGAGAACATAAAAATAAATGAAATTGATATGCAAAAAATGTGCATGTTAGGCAATATCACATAGCAAAGAATGTGTGTGTTAGGAGTCATTTGCACTAATGTGCTGGTGGATTTTCATGAGGACTTCAATTCTTTCACCATCACAAAGAGATGTGGAAATGTGGAGAACAGAACTTAAGGCTGGAAAAATGAGAAATCGAGAGACCAGTTTCTTCCACCTCTGATCTACACTCCATTTTCATCTCTATTGAACATGGTTTGCAGGGTACCATATTGTTTGAGAAATCTGCTTGACTAGAGGTGGCCACGGGATAATAATAATAATAATAATAATAATAATAATAATAATAATTATTCATACCCCACCCATCTGGCTGGGTTTCCCCAGCCACTCTGGGCGGTTCCCAACAGAATTTTAAAAACACAATAAACATCAAACATTAAAAACTTCCCTAAACAGGGCTACCTTCAGATGTCTTCTAAAAGTCAGATAGTTGACATCTGATGGGAGGGCATTCCACAGGGCGGGTGCCACTACCGAGAAGGCCCTCTGCCTGGTTCCCTGTAACCTCACTTCTCACAGTGAGGGAACTGCCAGAAGGTCCTCAGAACTGGACCTCAGTTGAACGATGGGGGTGGAGACGCTCCTTCAGAAGAGAAGGATACACGCTTGCATGTTTTTCTCAACTTGACAAATTATTTCTGATTTTCCAGATGACCATCCTGTCTGGCCACACCAGCCTGCCTCTGCTAGGGTTGCTGTGTCTCCTACTCCCTGGATGAGGGTACTCTTGTTGAAGGGCAGCCGATGTCTGGTTTAAAGCTAAAGGGAGACTGGGGTGGGAAGGGCTGGAACAGGTCAAACTTGATGTTGCCCATCAACAGCACTTGGTCACAGTGAGCCAGTAAAATGTAGTGGTTAAGAGCGGTGGACTCGTAATCTGGTGAACTGGGTTCGCTTCCCCGCTCCTCCACATGCAGCTGCTGGGTGACCTTGGGCCAGTCACACTTCTCTGAAGTCTCTCAGCCTCATTCACCTCACAGAATGTTTGTTGTGGGGGAGGAAGGGAAAGGAGATTGTTAGCCACTTTGAGACTCCTTAGGGTAGTGATAAAGTGGGATATCAAATCCAAACTCTTTTTCATCATCACTAAGCTCTACTGTGGTCCAATTTAAATTAGGGCAATTATTTCTAAAATGTACTAAATTATCCCATGCAGTTTTTATGCGGATCTGTGCTCTTGTTCCCCCCCCCCCATGATACATTTCCTCTTTTGTGTGTGATGTCACTACCATACCCTTAGCTCAGTTCATTTAACCTTAGCGGATAAACTGCTGGCAGAGGAAAAAATGACTAATCTATCCATCTTGGAAGTGTATGTTTTGTGTGCGTGAGAAAGAGAGAATGAGGGAGGGAGGCTGAGAAAGAGAGAGGCTTGATATCCCAGTTTATTTTGCTTTTATCACACTTTCTGCAGAACACAGCGGGAATAGACCTCCCCCGGAACATCACAACAAAAGCCAAGAGAAGCTTGTAAGAAGTGAGGTCACAGCAAATGTGACATATATATTGAATACTGAATGCACCGGGAACCCTGTGAGTTATCCTTTCTATCTCTCCCTGTATTTGGTGCCTGGTTACTTGTTTACAAAATACCATTGCTGTTTAATTTTTTTAAGGCACTCCAACAAGAGCATTCCACTTACATTGTACATCAGGAGTAAGGAACTCCAGCTGACAGCAGGGTTTTGCCAGGTCCTCTGGGTCCTCTCCTGCCCATCAGCTGCTTAGCAGGGAGCGGATGAGAGGCAGCAGGACTTTGATGTTGTGCAAAGGATGCAGCAGCAGCTATTCCATCTGCAAGAAGATCTGCTGCCAGATCATCAAAGCACGGGGGGGGGGGGAGCGTGCATCTGGGAGGTTCAAAAAGATGCAAAAAGTCACCCCTGCATTTCGCAGCTACGCATGTGCAATTTTCGGGATTCTGTTGCAGATGGAAGTTGAGGCTTTGAATACTTGTGAGGGAGGGCTTGCAGTTCAGGTGCACATGGGCACTGTTGAGTTCTTTCCTTTTACACAGGCAGTTACTTCTCCCAGCACATGGAAACACAGCACATGAATGCTTCTCCCTGCATATAGAAATATAGGCTAGGCAACTCTCTAACAAGCTAGCTTTCTATGTGGAAGGAATTTTTCCAAGCAGATTTCAATAACTCCCCACGGAAAAAGGACTCAGGGACACTGTCTTGAAAGTATGAAGCAACACAGTTAAGTCACAGGATTACCTCTCCATGAGAATTAGCATGGCAAGTTGCAGGTTTGAGGAGATCATCAATGAAGTGTCACCTGGTGATTCCAATCCTATATCTCTGGCCCCTTCCAATATAATATCCCCCCCCCCAAAAAAAGGAAGAGGGGGGGAAAGGACAGAGCTACTGCACCTTTAATAGTAATGTAGAAGAGGGAATTTCAGCAGGTATAATTTCTCACTATTAAAGGTATAATAGGAGCACTGCCCTTTTTTTCCATCTACCCTTCCAGTGGTGGTAGTGGTAAGTAGTGGTAGTTGCTCCAATAAGTATCAGGAAGCCAGGAGACACCGTTTTTATTTTCCCACAATGCCTCCCACAATGTCTCAGAGGCACCATGGGAAATTGAAATGGTGACCTTTAGTCTGAGCTAGCCACTGCTGATTAGAGGACAAGATCTTTTTAGGGGTGGGACTAGGTGTCAAGAAATTGACAAAAGATCTTGATTGCCATCAGTAGTAATGATCATCATGCAAATTTGGTCTCAGTTCTCACTGGGAGGGTTTGACTAATTTGCTGTGTGTGGAGTAGTGGTTAGGCGCATTGGCCATGAGCCAGAAAGTTGCCAGCTCACCGAGGAACTCATTAAAAACTCATTAAGAAAGCTGTTATTGGCACAACCTCCTAGTTGTCAGGCCATATGACTGTACCTCAGCCTGTAACCAAGTCTAAGCATATGCACCCCAAACAATCATAGATTGCTTCCCAGTCGCATTTTTACCCCACCTATTCCCTTCTCCTTCCTCTGTTCCCTGCTCCCTCCCTGTGCCAAGGTTTATATTATAAGTTGCTTGGGGCTGCTTTCTTCTTGTACTCTGTAACACAGGGCCTGGGGACCTGTTCCAGTCCAAAGGCCACCTTCCCTTCTGGGGGCCATGTTCCAGTGGAGGGTGGAGCCACAGGCAAAACTGGGCGGAGCAAGGAATGCAATTTTTGCCTTTGTATGCTAGGCTGCTGTCTATGCACAGCTGCACATCTTTCTCTATCCTCCACCCAAAGAACCAAGAGGTATTGTTGGAAGTGAAGGATAGGCTATTGCCAGGACACAACTTTGGCTGAGCCCTAGAAGAACTCCTGTAGCTGACAAACAATCACAGTGCAAGACCAGTCCTAGCATTGGGCAGAGTGAGGTATCTACCACAGGCAGCAAATGCTGAGGGGAAGGGTGCACAGAGAAGGAGCTGAAGCACAGAGCTATGTGTGCCATGTGGTGTATCCTCAAAGCTGGGCTGCCCCCTGCATGTGCTGTAGAGGACATTGCCCCATTTGCAACAATGAGATAAGGCTAAACTGCCCATCTAGTTGTTCTTTGTATATGGAGCATGGAGAGCCGTCCCCTCATTCCCAGGAAGCAGAATGTCCTGGGGCCATCCCTGTCTGCAAGAATTACTCCAGATGGAAGTAGTAACTAGCGTTACTAATGTTACTATTGTGCTGCCAAAGCTTCCTGTTACGGAGGTTTCTTTGTTTTGATGGTAAAGGTAAAGGGACCCCTGACCATTAGGTCTAATTGCGGATTACTCTGGGGTTGCGGCACTCATTTCGCTTTATTGGCCGAGGGAACTGGCATACAGCTTCCGGGTCATGTGGCCAGCATGACTAAGCCACTTCTGGTGAACCAGAGCAGCGCACAGAAACGCCGTTTACCTTCCTGCTGGAGAGGTACCTATTTATCTACTTGCACTTGGCTGCTTTCGAACTGCTTTCCTCCTATATACATAAAAATGTAAGGCTGTCATCACCCTGCAGTTTGTATGGCTGTTGATAGGCAGCCATGCCAACTCTAGTATGATAAATGGCAGGCAAGCAAATAAGCAAGGGTGCTGTTTAAAAGAGAGGGAAATGCTGTTTCGCCAATGGCATTAATATGAAGAAAGGTTGCAGTGTTTGAGACTTTTTTAGTTTAGACAAAAGGTGAGTAAGAGGCAATAGGATAGGTATCTATAAGATTATGCATAGCATGGAGAAAGTGGATTGAGATGTTTTTTTCTCCTCTTATAACACAAGAACTCACGGACATTAATGAAGCTGAATGTTGGAAGATTTAGGACTAATGAAATATAGTCCTTCTTCACACAGCACATAGTTAAACTGTGGAACTCGCTCCCCCAGTGATGGTCACCAACTCGGATGGCTTTAAAAGAGGATCGGAGAAATTCATGGAGGAGGAGAGGGCTGCCAGTGACTCCTAGTTGTTTGAAACCATGGGAGTGTTGGGATCACAGAATGCTGTGTGAGATAGTAAGTCTGTAGGCTTGAGTTTGCTAGCTGATGCAACTGGCTGATGCCATCAGCCTGCAATACTTTGTATGGAAGTGCTGGGTCAGAATGACTCAGCAGTAATGTGCTGTCAGTTGATTGGCTGTCATCGGTTTAAAAGGGAAACCTATCCAGCAGTAAGGGGGTGGTGTAGAGGAGTGTGGCCAGAGAGAGAGAGTTAGAGGTCTTCCTATTTGCCTTAAGGTGCAGCCAGGTGCTCTGTTTGACTGTATGAACTGTTCGTGTATTATAGCTTGTAGAGAGCCAGTGTGGGGTAGTGGTTAAGAGCAGTAGACTCGTAATCTGGTGAACCGGGTTCGCTTCCCCGCTCCTCCACATGCAGCTGCTGGGTGACCTTGGGCTAGTCACACTTCTGAGAAGTCTGAGAGACTCACTTACCTCACAGAGTGTTTGTTGTGAGGGAGGAAGGGAAAGGAGATGGTTAGCTGCTTTGAGACTCCTTAGAGTAGTGATAAAGCGGGATATCAAATCCACACTCTTTTTCTCTTCTATATAGCTCACAATAAATATACTGCACTGAAGAACCTGGAGCTCTGAGCATTTCTGCTAAAGCGCCGCGAAGAATTCGCGACAGGGAAGGGAGAGGGCTTTTGTGCTTCTTCTCCTTGGTTTCTCACAGGCATCTGCTTGGCTACTGTGAGAACAGGATGCTGGACTAAATGGGCCATTGGTCTGATCCAGCTGACGGTTGTGATGCTCTACTGTTTTTAAATGAGTTTTCGGTCACTTGGAGACCTTTGGTAACAAGTAACTAACAGATCCTGAAGCTGAGGCTCCAATACTTTGGCCACCTCATGAGAAGAGAAGACAGCCTGGAAAAGACCCTGATGTTGGGAAAGATGGAGGGCACAAGGAGAAGGGGACGACAGAGGATGAGATGGTTGGACAGTGTTCTTGAAGGTACCAGCATGAGTTTGACCAAACTGCAGGAGGCAGTGGAAGACAGGAGCAGTGGCGTAGCGTGGGTTGTCAGCACCCGGGGCAAGGCAAGTAATTTGCGCCCCCTAACCCATGGATTTGCGCCCACTAACCCGTAGATTTGCGCCCCCTAACCCTAACCCCCAGATGTTGCGCCCGGTGCGGCCGGCCCCCCTGCACCCCCCACGCTACGCCACTGGACAGGAGTGCCTGACGTGCTCTGGTCCATGGGGTCACGAAGAGTCGGACACGACTAAACCACTAAACAACCACTAACAACCACAGTAACAAAACGATACTACTTGTGAGACATAAAGAAGAGTTGAGTTCTCCCCTCCACATGCCGTTGGGGGCATGGGAAATTTGGAACACCCCTCATGGATGGCTGGTGGGTGCAAAACTGCTTTCCCCATAAAACCTGAAGATATATAATGGATTAGTGACCACGTCAGCTATGCAGTGCTCTGTAATGCCTTGATGGAGGGTGGGGGGAATTAATCTGGTTGTACCAAGATTTCAGAAATAGAGAGGAGAGGAAAAAAACCACTGGATTCCACTGCGACTAGCAAAACAGCCTTCTAAACAAACATCATCAGAGCAACTCAGTCCCCTCATTAGCACTCTTAACATCAAAGGCTCTCCTGCAGCAGAATTAACTATTTCTTCCAGGATGTTCAACAAAAGGAGGGATCCTAATGAGGTTAGTTAAAGGGGCTGCCCTGTTTCATTAGCTCTGCTGGGCTAGGTCTGCCAGTGAGGAACTATCAAGTAGATTGCTTTTTAAAAAATTACTCTGTTAATTGATATAAAACAAAAAGGACACAGATTAGTTGCATGCAATTAGCAAATTAATTATTGGCAATTACAGACTTAATAACGGAGTCGCTTTGCTGCTGTGCATTGGATTCTATGGCCCACATTCCTCACATTTATGAGCTGGAGATGTACCTTACACCTAGACATACATACATGCATTCATTCACACACACACACACACACACACACACACACACCTATCATAAAAATAAAATATTTGGTTTATAAATAAATCTTTATTCATTTCTGTTATGCTGCTTTAGAGGTTGCTAGTATAGCACTTATGAGTGCACCTGGTACCCTGTCCTGAAATTATCCAAAAGAATAGGTTGCCCTGTGTGCTGGACTGCAGTGGGGGACGGGCTTCTTTTTATAATTCATTTAAAGCTCACAATGCTTTATCGAATATGTAAATATGCTTAGAGACCCAAAAAGGTTGGTGACACCTGTGCTATTTGAATTGGGGAACATCAGTCCCTTTAAGACATGTACCCTCAGCTCAACATTGATCCTTAAAAAATCTGAGTGACTTTCCCCCAAAATATCTTGAAGAAAACAGGGCTATGCCATCAGTCATTGATGGCAGCGGTGGAGCAAGCTGATTGGATGCCAGGGGTGGTGTGTGTGACCTGCGCCCTGGGGCAGGGGCAGCTGCCCGTGGGGGCGGGGCCAGCTGCCCACAGGGCTGGGCCAGCTGGGGCAGGATGCTCTGCGGGGTCTCCGAGGAGTCTGCCTGCCTCTTCCCACTCAGCCGCCCTACAGCTGAGGGAGAGGCGGCGGGCGGACCATTTGGGGCAGTGCAGAGCCTGCGGGCGCCCAAGCCACTGCGCCACTCCCAGGAGAGACGCATGGCTTGGTCGCGCTTCTGGCCCCGCAGTGAATGCCGCCTGGCATTTTGTCACCCGCCCTCAGTGGTGACACCCGGGGCGGACCGCCCCCACTGCCCCCTTCCTCCTCCCCTGATTGAGGGAGGAACCTTATTGTGCTGGTCCTGGGGCTAACTGAGAGGCGAGGTCCGAGTCCAGTCCGAGGTCGATGGTGCGGTATGGAGGCTGTCCGTCAAAGCTGTGCAGACTGGGATTCCTCAGGTTCAGCCTCTGAGGCCGAATCCCAGGCCATCACACTTACGTTCCCTGGAAGGGCAGATGAGGGCCATAGAATGTTGCAGAATTCTCTTTCCAAAGTCCAGGAATGTTTCTCTTCTGCTGGTTGTGCCCTGTGGGCAATGGGTCCAAAAACAGGGCATGCCAGGCATGTCCCTGCATCCACAGAATCCAGGGCTGGCTCTGGACGTTTTGACGCTAGAGGACAAACAAACAGAAAACGCCATACATTTCTCATCCATCTCCTTCTCTGATGTACACTCGCTGCCAACATGTAACCACTGTGGACATCAGTGTGCAATCCGGCACAGCTGACCAAACTGGTGGATGTGAGTTAAGTTTTCCAGACTCTTGCGCACATGCAAATGCACACACAGACACACAATTTCTGCTTTCTAAACTCTTGTCCTGTAACACAGATTTGTCGCCGCTGTTCATCAACACAAGACATGGTAAACCCTATGGAATAATCTGCCTCAAGTGTTTATCAGAAATAATAAAGCTATTATTTTCTTTGCATGCATCCTGAAGTTACAAAGCCTCAGATGGGATTAATAGAAATTTTAATTAAGATATGGAAATAAGCTTCTTTCTCTCACATGTACTGAGAAAGCTGGAAGTTAGTTGTGTGATTGACAGCCTGCTAAGACCTGCTGGAGAAACCATTTCTCAATATGGATGGCATCTCTTAAGGCCGAATTGCAAAACCGCAAAGATACCCTGACCTAGATTCATTTGTTTATGAAATCATTTCTACCTCAAATCTTGCACCCAAACTGGATCTGTGGAATATCTTAATAAAACAGCCCATTTAAAGAATAAGAGTGCTGATTGCTTGTGGTGAAGAGGTCTTGCGAGGGCTCCATCATGGGGCCAGATTGTAGTTGGAGCTATTGACAATTTATTGAACCAGGTGATGGCTGAATCTTTGCCAGATAGGCCTCAGGTACATAGCTGTCAACTGTCCCTTATTTGGTGGGAAAGTCCCTTATCCCAGCGCTGTGTCCCGCTGCTGTCCCTTATTGATGATGTCCCTTAAATTTCCCGGGTTTCAAAGGAAGCAGATCCTCTCCCTCCCTCCCTGCCGGCCAGGGAGGAGGGAGACTCCAACTGTGTTGCTTAGCTGCGTTGCTCACCCAATAAGGAGTCTAAGAATGACTGGGGGGTGGAGTTTGCATGCCTTGTGCCGATCAAATCGGCTGCGTTGCCTGGGGACTCGCCTTTGCTCAGCGCTTCCCAGTGGAGAAGTGACGGTGGTTTTCCTTGCTGCATCCCCTTTGCTGGGTAGCTGCGCTGTGGGAACCACCGGTTGAGGCTTCGTTTGGCTGCTGGCTGGGTTTTCTGCCTTTGGCTCAGAGGGGCTCAGAAGTTGAACATACCAGTGTTCGGAAAATCCCTTATTTTGGCTGCTGATCCCTTATTTTCGAGGCTGCTGGTCCCTTATTTTCAAATCTGTAAGTTGACAGCTATGCTCAGGTAGTCCCAGGTGCAGTACCCACTGTGGTCCTAACTCCTCACGTTGCAACATGTCCTGTTTCCTTTTCACCAAGAAATCGCCAGTGTTGGAACTCTTTGTGCCAGCAGTTCTTAAAGACAGGCTGATTAATTTGTCTTGCCTGGAGGAGTGCAAGTATATCCTTTCCCATCAACCCCCCCTCCCAAAATCCAGCTGAAGAAAACCTGACATTTACTGCAAGCGCAGGAAAGAGCTGGTGATTACCACTCCTCAGGCTTTTGTGCAAAAGGACGGGCAGTTTGGTGACAGAAAATCTGCAAAGCATTAAACAGAAATGATTTTTTAAAAAGGAATCTCAACCAAATTAAACTTTCATGCAAAGCCCAGCAGGAGATGAGGAAAGAAGAAATTAAGGTTTGGATTTATTTATTTTTTTCAAAAAAATTGAAGGACTCCATTAAAAAAATGGCCCGGAACAAAATCTCAAGTTTATGTGTGAATGAGAAAGCACTAACCCAAGATAAGGCAGTTGCAATAAATTGTGTGGTTAAGTACCAATAGCTGACATTATCTCTGTTCAAGCAGGAGGGATTAATACTGTTTAATAGCAATTTATTAGCACTTACATATGCACACATTTCACTCCCCCGCCCCCCCCCGCCACTGCCCTCTTGAAATTAAAAATATATATATCATCGCTTCCTAATCTTTTAACAAGAAGTCAAGAGCTAACTGCATTCTAAAACAATTTTAATCGCTGGATATTGTGGTCACACTGTTTGAGTTCAATTTAAATATTTAGCAAACATGAGATAAACTATATGGGCAGTTTAAACACACACACACACACACACACACACACACACAAAGAGAGAGAGAGAGGGGGGGGACTCTTTACAGTAAAGCTGCAGTAGGAATCCATGTATATTCTTGCCTTATGAGAGGTTGAACAGGTATCCTAACTGCCTGTGGACTAAGAGGAGTTCATTAACACCTGTTATCGTGTATGCTGAGCTTGTACCTGAAGAATTCACGACACTAGTGTCCAACTGGATCAGTGCCAAAGAGTGACTCAGAAAAGTCTTGTTGCAATAGCTCCTCCACTCAACAAGAGGAGCTGTAGCAAGGACTTTTCTATACTTGGGAATGGGCTATTCAGCACCAAAATTGACTAGCATGCCTGACAAGGTGGGTGGGGTATACCGTATTTTTTGCTCCATAAGATGCACTTTTTTCTTCCTAAAAAGTAAGGGGAAATGTCTGTGCATCTTATGGAGCGAAGGCCCCTGGAGCTGAATTGCCCAGGAGTGAAAAGCAGATCATGCTTTTTTTTTTTTTGAAAAAGGGAAGGGGGTGTTGAAAGGAAGCAGTTGATTGCCAAGTGATCGGGGAGAGAGATAAGGGACGCTAGCAATAAAGGAGGCTGCCTGGGAGTGGGGAGGTAAAAGTCCATGGATCCTCAGCCTGCATCAAAAAAATTACGCACCCACTGCTGCGTGGGGCCACAATGGCGCAAAAACGTGGTTACAAAGCACAGATCCACATGGATCCTCAAGATTTCTGCACTGGGCTACCCCAAACTCACCATCAAATCACATGTTTGTGGCCACAGCATGAACCACAAAAATCATACATCTACTGTTTCATTCAGAATATTTTTTTTCTTGTTTCCCTCTAAAAACTAGGTGCGTCTTATGGTCAGGTGCATCTTATGGAGCAAAAAATATGGTAAATATCAAAATTATTATTATTATAACAAAACAAGACCATTATGATAGCGTCTCTGACCAGTCTCATTGATCATATCTCATCTTAATAAGCCAAGATACAGGTCCTTTGATCCTTTTTGTGCTTAGCCACAGTTAAGACAGGAAGTCTCTAATTCACTTTATGCCAAATTTCCAGCTTGGTTCTGAAGTCTATATGCATTTCTGTTGAAAATGAACAGGAAGAGGAAGGAAGGAAGTTCTCTTGTGCACAAAATGTTCTGTTCCTGAGACTCGTATTTTAATATTTGTGCCGACTGGAACAAGACAGATATTAAACTATTTAAATGTTGTAAATTATCGCGATACACACGCACATGCGCACACGCAGGTGTATATGAGTCTGATTTCTACGTCTTTTCTTTGGCAGAATGTTAAAAGCCCATGGATGGATGGGAAGAGGGAAAATATCGATAAAATAAATAAAAATGGATGGGAAACATTTATCTGGCAGCCCGCAAGATAACACCATCAGGAGAAGCAGCTGCATCAAAGGGTGGGGATGATGGGGAGGATAGGAAAACAAGACATCTCTTTTATTAGGGGGGGGGATGAATGCAAAGCATAGATTTGGTAAGAAAATCAGCTGAGAATGAAAAGGTGACAATGAAATTAAATAAGTAAACTTGAGCTGTTCGTTAAAAAGGGAGATAGAACCCAGTGTGTTGAAACTACCTTGCAAATTGGTGAAGAAGCCAAGCTTTTGACACCAGCTTTGCAGCATTCAATACTAACTGAATTGCATTTATTTATTTTTTAACTCATTGGTTAATCATTCATGGCGGGTTCCAATAGACACCCTTGTGGCTCTTGCATACTGATAATCTGGGTGTCATATGGATCTTTTTTTAGGTGTAACATCCACAAATAGTTCTGACATTTTAATTTACAACAAAGAGTAATAATATATGTATTCTATTTCAACAACCCAACAAAAATAATGTAGTAACTGACGTGTGTGCTACTTGCTATTGATGTAATACAGTCATACCTCGGGTTACAGATGCTTCAGGTTGTGTTTTTTTCGGGTTACGGACGTGCTGAAACCCGGAAGTACTGGAACGGGTTACTTCTGGGTTTCAGCAGTCGCACATGTGCAGAAGCACTAAATCGCGCTTTGCGCATGTGCAGAAGCGCCGAATTGCAACCTGCGTGTGCACAGACGCGGCGCTGCAGGTTGTGACTGCTGTGGGTTGCAAACATGTCTCCCGCATGGATCACGTTTGTAACCCAAGCGTCCACTATACTGTATGATTCTCTCATTACAGTGGAAAATGGCCGCTATTAAGCAATCTATCAATTGTCTTCAGAGCTGGAGCAAATTATTGCTTAAGGTGAAATTGGTTTAGTAAGTGAGGGGGACTACTTTAAATCCTCAGATTTGGTATTTGCATGTGATAATACTTTACCAGATTTTGTGCGCATGTGAAGACCCAAAGAGTGTTGGCCCAGCCTTCCTAGTCTGATTGGAAGTAATACTGCAATTTTTGTTGGTGAAGAAGGAACTCGGCTTTTGATTAACATGTTCATGTGAATAATAATAATAATATAATAATAATTTATTATTTCTACTCCGCCCATCTGGCTGGGTTTCCCCAGCCACTCTGGGAGGCTTCCAACAAAAGATTAAAAATACATGAATGGAAAGGACATGTGTGGGAACGTATAGGCTGAAATCCAGTGCCAATGGAATCAACACCATTGGTGGATCCCAATTGCTCTCTGTAAGTGGCAGTGCCCTGCTGACTCCAAATGAATGGCTAGACGCACTTCATTGTAGGTTGTCATGGACTGGCTGGATGCAGAGATGGGCTGGGAGGCACCTTGGATACCAGGATTGGTTACCCACCTTCCCTTCTGAACAGAGGAGAGATCCAATAGCTTCTTTTCTCTGTGGGTGAGCACAGCAGTGGCTGGTGTAGGTGCTCTTTTCCACCTCCTCTCCAAAAAAATCATTTTGGAGCTTTTCTTTGATTTTTTAAAAATATTTTTTAAAAAATACTCCAACTTGCCGTATGTCCAGCTTTTCCAGTTCAGCAGAAATCCTCCCTGACGCCATTTTTAAGAGATTCCCAGACATGTCGGGAAACCCTAGACATATAGCAGCCCTACCTTTTCCCATTAATGGGGCATGCCTTCACCATTTGTGCTCCTGTCCCTTCTGCTCATTTAGATGTGGCAGCCATTTTGTGTTGCGCCACACCCAAGGGCAGCCATTTTGTGAGTGGCGCCTCCAACACTTTCTAAAATTCCCCAAGATCCCCATAGGGCCGATAAGGTTGGCAACCCTTAAGAGAGAATATTATGAAAATGATATACAGGTGGTACATGACCCCAGTCAAGCTTGCAAAAATCTACCATTTGCCCGATAACAAATGTTGGAAATGTAAAGAAACTGAAGGTACATTCTTTCACCTTTGGTGGACGTGCCCAAGGATTAAGGTTTTCTGGGAGATGATTTATAATGAATTAAAAAAGGTATTTAAATATACCTTCTTGAAGAAACCAGAGGCCTTTCTCCTGGGCATAGTCGGCCAATCGGTGTTAAAGAAGGACAGAACTTTCTTTATGTATGCTACAACAGCAGCAAGAATACTTATTGCAAAGTATTGGAAGACACAAGACCTATCCATTCTGGAAGAATGGCAGATGAAAATGGTGGACTACATGGAATTGGTGGAAATGACTGTCAGAATCCGAGACCAGGGAGAAGAGTTGGTGGAAGAAGATTGGAAGAAATTTAAAGACTATTTACAGAAATATTGCAAAATTAATGAATGTTAGAATGATGTTGGATTGAAGTTAAGTGGTTTCTAGCTGTAATGGTATAAAAGAATATGGAAAAGTTGGATTTTTAACAGGTAAAAATTTAATGCTATAATATATTAAGATTAAAGATCAGGATAAAATAAGGAGGGAAAGGAATTGCTGAACTAATAAATTGAACTGGAATACAAAAAAGGGAGGTATGAGGAGGTCCGGGAAACAAGTAAATGAAAGATAAGTGTCAAAAAGATGGAATTGTTTTTAACTGTTTTTTTATTTTTTATTTTTTATTTTTCATTATGTAATATTGTGAAAACTTTAATAAATATTTATTAAAAAAAAGAGATAAGGTTGGCAACCCTCCCCAATTTTAGTCCAGAATCCTGTTTTCAACAATTATCACCCAACAACTCTCACCCAAGTCAACCCTTTCCCATTGTTTACCTACCAACCTGCCAGCAACTTATATTCAGAGCTGTACTACTGGTTGTTCTCATGGATATTAAAACCTTCCCTATGAATTTGTGCAATTCCCCTTTTAAACTATGGGTAAATTCAGCAACCGTTGCTTATTCTTGTTGTGTATTTCACTTTTAGTCTTTCCTGTGGGGAAGTTTTGCCTCTTGGCTGGCCTCTACCCTTCTAATTTCTCACTCATTTGCAGCTGCACAGAATAACAAGGAACTCCTTACTATATATAACCTAGTAGGGAAGATGCGAAACTTCTCAGGTTTCAAGGAGGTTTCAGAAGTCTTGCCGAGACAATTTCAGACCACTTGTGATTATTCCTCAGCAGCAACAAAACTCCTGACCAAACTCAATTACTTCTATACCTAAGTGACTTGTTATAAACAATTAAGTGGGTCAATGCATATGCAAATACCAGAAGCACAAATCACCTTTGCTTGGGGGTGGGAAGAAGATGAAGATGTTTGATCTGCACCGATACTTGTACTTTTTATTAAAAAGTAACCGCAACAAAATATTTTAAAATACACTGTTGCCTGCCCTCCCAACACATTTGTTGTTGTTTAGTCATTTAGTTGTGTCTCACTCTTCGTGACCCCATGGACCAGAGCACGCCAGGCACTCCTGTCTTCCACTGCCTCCCGCAGGTTGGTCAAACTCATGCTGGTAGCTTCGAGAACACTGTCCAACCATCTCGTCCTCTGTCGTCCCCTTCTCCTTGTGCCCTCCATCTTTCCCAACATCAGAGTCTTTTCCAGGGAGTCTTCTCTTCTCATGAGGTGGCCAAAGTACTGGAGCCTCAGCTTCAGGATCTGTCCTTCCAGTGAGCACTCAGGGCTGATTTCCTTAAGAATGGATAGGTTTGATCTTCTTGCAGTCTATGGGACTCTCAAGAGTCTCCTCCAGCACCATAATTCAACAGCATCAATTCTTCGGCGATCAGCCTTCTTTATGGTCCAGCTCTCACTTCCATACATCACTACTGGGAAAACCATAGCTTTTACTATACAGACCTTTGTTGGCAAGGTAGTGTCTCTGCTTTCCCAACACATTAATCTTGTCTATATCCCAATAAAGGACTTGTAAACCTTCTCTCTACCTCTCTCTTTGCTCGCCCATGCTGAGATCAGAAATCCGGTCTGATTGGATCCAAATACCTTGGTGCTGCTCACTTCCAGCAAAAGGGGGAGAGGTGGGAACGAAGCCTGTCACAGAGTAAATAATTAGAATTATTTCCTTTTTCCTTTTTAAAGCTGCTAGTTCTCAGCTGGCCAACTGAACATGCGAATTTGAAGGCAGGGTATTTATATCCTCGACTTCACACTTAACCATGTGATTGGCAACCACGAACAAGGGCGATAATAATTACACTGTGATGTTGAGCCCCGGTACCCTTGAGGTAGAAACGAACGGAATGAACACAGCTAGGGACTTTGTCGCAGAAACTCCAGGGTTGTAAATGACATTCACCTGGCAGAAAATTGGAAGCGGACTATGCAACAATATGAAGTGGAGAGTCTGGTGGCCAGTGGGAATGGCAAGGCAAGGGGCTGCCCTCGATGTAAAAGCCTGAAATCCCCTTTCCAGGGCTGGAACAGGGAGATTTCCGTTGCTCTCGAGAAGTCATTTCAATTTGTACCTGTGTTCATAACAGGACAGAGCTTCAGTTTATAATCTGAGCAATAAAGCCGGCTCATCAGGAACTTCTCGAGGAAACTTGTTATTACTGAAAATGACACTCTAATTGCCTCCAGACATTTGGCAGGTCTACTGAGTGGAAGAGCCTGATAAGCTATTGAGGTATTAAGGGATGTAGAATCAATTAATGTAAGGAGATAAGAAAGTAATACCCTACCAAGGTAAACTAACTGAATAGTATGTGTCAGACAAGTTCACTGTGAACCCAGGAAGTGGTAGACGTTCCCAGTGCTGTCTGCCAGCGTTCTTCCCACACTGCCACACTGGAAATACATTGAGCTGGCTGCTTCTTCTGACATGTCAAGCGGCGTAGGGATGTTGATAGATGTTGGGAGATGATATATTTGCTAGTTATTATTCTTCCTTCCTCACATTTGGGAGTTCAGCAGAATGCATCCCTTTGCAGCTTCAGAGGAAGCTTAGAGAGGCTAGTTTTAGCCTTTTAGTTTAAGTAATCTAGGATGGAGGGGACGCATGACCGACTCTAGGGTTGCGGCGCTCATTTTGCTTTATTGGCCGAGGGAGCTGGCATACAGCTTCCGGGTCATGTGTCCAACATGACTAAGCTGCTTCTGGTGAACCAGAGCAGCGCACGAAAACACCGTTTACCTTCCCGCCGGAGCAGTACCTATTTATCTACTTGCACTTTGACGTGCTTTCAAACTGCTAGGTTGGCAGGAGCAGGGACTGAGCAACGGGAGCTCACCCCGTCGCGGGGATTCGAACCGCCGACCTTCTGATCAGCAAGTCCTAGGTTCTGTGGTTTAACCCAATGTGCAAAGTCACAAATTTTGCTGAATTACACCTTGAATATACACCTCCACTTTTCCTTGGTCTTTCAGATCTAAAACCAGATTTGTGACCAGCAAAGGCATGGGTAAACTCCCAGGAAGATTCCTCTAGCACAGGTATGTCCAACTTCCAAGAAACTGCAATCTACTCCCACTTTAACAAATCTGGCAATGATCTACCCATTGGATTGACCAAAGTTGTTGAGATTTTTTGGGGAAGCCAAAGTTGTTGAGCTCCTCCTCCAGGCACATTCCCTCATTATGCAGAGTATCCAGCACGCAGGGAAGGACGAGAAAATATGAGCTACATTGCAAAGAGTTTTATTCCTAACTATGCAGACAGAAAAGAAAATACATCTTCTCTCTGTGAGAGCAGAGAGCAACTGGAAAACAAAGGAACAGGAAACCAGTAACATCACATCCGTCTCCTGTCTTCCGTGAGACTTCCAATAGCCTGGCATCTCTGGAATGCAGAACAGAGTCTTGTGACTTCAAGTACTGCACCAGTGGCATAAACAGAAACTAACACTTGGAGGGGGATCAGGATCCCACGGTTGACCTGCTGGACATCCCTGCTTTAGAAACATGGTAAGACTCTGATACTTCATAAGGCAGGACAGGACCAGTACAGCAGACACTCCATCATCTCCATTTTTGACCTTAAAGACCAAGAAAAAACATCTGTGTATGGTGCGTAAGTTGTGAGCAAGCACAATTTGTGACACCACAAAACAACATTACTTATATACAGTGCACAGCTTAGCTTCCAGTTACTCAGTTTTGTGTAGCTCGAGTCAACCTAAACTATGGTCTTAAATCCGCAGGGTTTCTCATATATATATATATATATATATATTTGAATAATGATGATGATGACTTCTTCATTTTAAAAAAACAACAACCAATGTATCAGCGATTGTTTGCAACACAGCTGCCCAGTCCTTTGTGTACCAAATAAATAATAGCAATAAAGCCCCCTTCATCACTATCCCCAGCAAACATGCGCTCCCATACACAGGTTAGCATAATCACATTCTCTTTTGTTCTCTTCACTTTCTTTGTTCGCTGTGCAGTAATGAAAAATGACAGCCATATTTATTGTAACATTCCTCCAGGAATGCAAAGATAATTACCTACTCTTAGCAAGGAGATGAGAACAAGGGTGAATTCTATCTCCTTCCAACTGTCTGCACCCTAAGACAGGAGCGTGTGTGAAATGCAAATAATTAGACCTGTAGGAGTAATTAAGGGGTAGGAAATTGAGCACCGTGGGTTGGTGTGTGTGCATGAGCAGAAGTTGTTTCGATGGCGGTGGTTTCTGGTTGTGTAAAATAAAACCTGGTGGATGTCTTGTACTATAAGAGACTGTCAACAACCACCAAGGCCTGGCTGAGTTTTATGAGGGAACTGTTGGCCTTCTTGAGAGAACCTCCTGCTCAACAAATGCAATTGGGTCTCAGTGTGATGCAGTTGGGGCCGGCTCTTGCATTAGGCAGAGTGTGCAACATAACTTAAGCTAAACTGCTTGCTTTTGGTGCCACAGAGCCAGGCAGTGTCAAAGTTAAGCACCGTTCAGACAGTTTCTAGGAGGTGGAGAATCATCATTTGCAGTGGCTGCAGCCAGAAGCAGCTCATTCAATGAGGTGAAGCCACAGCATTCACTTCCTGACAGTGGTGTTGCTGCTGTGCACTGGGAGGGAGTGGTGGGGGTGCCTGAGGCAGGTGGAGGCCGTGGGGCCGTATCTGTGGAGTCCATCCAGCACTCTTGCTGGGGCATCCGCACAGCCCCATATCTCATTATCTCCATCCTAGTAAGGGGCACAGTGCAGCTTTGCCCTACCTGAACTGCTTCTGGCAGTAGCTCATGATCTTTCTTTTTCCCCATCCCTCCTGCGCTGCAAATGGCACCAACAGCTACTTTGTGGGTACCCTGGACACCAGTTTGCATCCTTCACAATGCCCTAGACCTAACTGTTACTCAAGAGCCTTTCTAGTTAGCTTCTGTCCGTGGTGGAATTCCAGGGGGCGCTATCATTTCTTTTGTTGTTGTTGTTTACAAGTTCCTTGGTTTCCCAGTCAGGTAATCACACTCCTTTGTCCTGACTGAGAACCTAATCCATTCCTGGGATGACTGGCTGTCTGGCACCCACCTGCCAGGGAGCCAGTGATTATCTCTTGTGCAAGAGGCTGTAGTGAACATGATCCCAGGTTTCGTGGATTATGGCTGCCTGCATCCCAGACTCCCCCCCCCCTCTCGTAGCCGTTACTTTCCTGAACAGAACAAAGTTGGAATGGTGCAAATCCATACTGGAATGATTTTATATGACTTTCTAAAGTTTTCCCAGTGAGCCATTACATAGATACATTTATCTATATACATTCTATATATATCTCTATATATCTATATATATACATTCGCAGGGAAGCCAAAATGCTTGTTTACAAAGCTATTGTACATGGACCACTTACAAACACCGTCTCCAACTTCTCGAAAGATTCCATCAACAGTGTCTCCGAAAATCTTACACATCACTTGGGTAGACAGGTGAACTAATATCAGTGTACTGGATGAAGCAAATATCACCAGTATTGAAGCAATGATTCTTCAACATCATCTTCGTTGGACTGGTCATGTTGTGCGGATGCCTGATTATCGTCTTCCAAAGCAGCTACTCTATTCCGAACTTAAAAATGGAAAGCGTAATGCTGGTGGTCAACAAAAGAGGTTTAAAGACTGTCTCAAGACAAATCTAAAAAAAAAAAATGTAGTATAAACATCGACAACTGGGAAACACTGGCCTGTGAGCACTCCAGTTAGAGAACAGCCTTTACCAAAGGTGTCATGGACATTGAAGACGCTCAAACTCAGAACGCAAGGGAGAAACGTGCTAAGAGGAAGACATTCTTGGCAAATCTGCACCGTGATCAACTCCCACCCAGAAACCAATCTCCCCACTGTGGTAGGACATGTGGATCCAGAATTGGCCTCCACAGTCATTTACGGACTCATTGTTAAAACTGTGTTGATGGAAGGCAATCTTAGTCAGCTATGAGTGATTGCTGAAGAAGAAGAAGACATTTATCAGTGAACTGTAATGTGCAGCAGAGGCGCTTTGAATAGAGATAGGAAAAACTGTGATGAAGTGTTTTGTGGGGACATTTGCAGAAGTGATTGTGTTGATTTTGGTAGTCAGGGTGTGTGTGTATGGTATCTGCTGGAGGAGCAACCACCCCCTACATTCACCGTATTTTTCACTCTATAAGACGCACCAGACCACAAGATGTTTTGGAGGAGGAAAACAAGGGGAAAAAAATTCTGAATCTTGGAAGCCAGAACAGCAAGAGGGATCGCTGTGCAGTGAAAGCAGCAATCCCTCTTGCTGTTCTGGCTTCTGGGATAGCTGCGCAGCCTGCATTCGCTCCATAAGACGCACACACATTTCCCCTTACTTTTTAGGAGGGAAAAAATGAGTCTTATAGAGCAAAAAATACGGTACATAAATTCCTGCAACAGTGCCTATGCATAGATCCTACCCACTGTGACCCCATCAGCAGCCCACAGGCCAGACTTCTTTCTTTGCCACCACCTCCGCAAACAATCTGAGCACTGCGCAACAGTTTAGTCCCTTGCTGCAGGTTTCAAACACTGCTGCCGTTTGACGGACACATGGGTTGCACGGCTATGCACCGCATGTATTTGTGTCGCGTGTACCCAGGGGGCTTGTGCCTTTAATCCTCCTCAGAGACAGAAAAGCTGAGCACTTTGCTTGCTGCTTTCCCCCTTTAAGCTGAGCTATTATCCGCAATTTCTGTAGTATGTTTCATAAGCAGAGGTTATCGTATGTTGCAGGCCATCTATCCTGCTGGGGAGCAAAAATGAACGCTTGATAATGCTGTTGCCCAAAGGCAGATAAGAGCTCCAGCTTGCTGAAAAATCCCACAAGGTTTCTTGTAACAAAAAATAAAGTGGGGATATAATTTATTATCCTCCCCTCCCGCACTGGGCCATGTGATCGTCTGCAACATCAAGCCAACCTACGGTGCATGTTAAAACAGATATATAAATAAACCTGTTGACAGCTTTCTTTTGCTCTGCCATTGATCTGCAGTGAGTTGCATCTTCATACCTAACAACTAAAGGGCACCTCAAGACTGAATTTTGTGTGTGGCCACATTCACACCACACCTTTAAAGCACTGTGATGCCAGTTTAAAGAGTCATGGCTTCCTCCGAGGAATTCTGGGAGCTGTAGTTTGTCACGGGTGCTGAGAGTTCACAGAGCTCCTCTCCCAGAGCCACAGTTTCCGGTCTGGTTTCACAGCCAATCCCTCTTCCCAGAGGACTTTGGGAATTGTAGGTTTGGGAGGGGAATAGGGGCCTACATTGTTGGAGGCAGGAATGCTTCTGAATACGGGTGGCTGGGTATCTGAAGTGGGCAAAATGCTCTTGTATTTGAATCCTAATTGCAGGCTTCCAATGGGCATTTGACCAGCCACTGTGGGAACAGGACACTGGACTAGACGGGCCTTTGGCTTGATCCAGCAAGCTCATCTTGGGTTCTTAATATGTGCAAGCTTTGTTTAGTTTTGTATTTGGGGCTGAGAATCAAGTGGCTTGTGCCAACAAATCCAACAGGGGTTGAGGAAGAAGAAATCATCGCAGAAGATCTGCCCAATCCTGTGCCCTCCTTGTCTCACACTAGTGGGACCACTTATAAATGCCATCTCCAACTCCTCAAAAGATTCCATCAATGGTGTCTCTGAAAATTTTTACACTTCACTTGGGAAGAGAGGCGAACTAATGCCAGTGTACTGAGAGAAGCAAAGATCACAAGTGTTGAAGCAATGTGAAATATATTCGGAGTCGAGAGTGGATTTCATGCTCTTTATTCAGCTCATAGTGGTGAGGAGGAATGGAAGTTCCCCCAGAATGTCTGCTTTATATACATTATTTACACAATGGGCCCCACATGATTGGCTAATGCCAGGATTCTTCTGTAGGCCAATCAGGTTGCGGATTCACTTCCACCTGGAGCTGGATTGGGTGGCTCCTGTGGACCAATCAGACTGCTGCATTCTTGGTCCTATTGTTCTAGGACCAATCAGACTGCTGCATTCTGAATCTTATTGTTCTAGGACCAACCAGACTGCTGCATTTTGGATCCTATTCAACTCAGTACATAACACAATGATTCTTCAACATCAACTTTGTTGGATGAGTCATGTTGTGCGGATGCCTGATTATCGTCTTCCTAAGCAGCTACTCTATTCCAAACTTAAAAATGGAAAGTGTAATGCTGGTGGTCAACAAAAGAGGTTCAAAGACTCTCTCAACGTAAATCTTAAAAAATGTAGTATAAACACCGACAACTGGGAAACACTGGCTTGTGAGTGCTCCAATTGGAGAACAGCCTTTACCAAAGGTGTCATGGTCTTTGAAGACACTCAAACTCAGGTTTGAAAGGGAGAAATGCACTAAGAGGAAGGCACGCTTGGCAAACCTTCACCATGATCAACGTCTGCCTGGAAACCTATGTCCCCACTGTGGAAGGACGTGTGGATCCAGAATTGGCCTCCACAGTCACTTACAGACTCACTTTTAAAACCATGTTAATGAAAGACAATCTTACTCGGCTACGAGTGATTGCCAAAGAAGAAGAAGAAGATACCAGCGGGGGCAAAAGGTGGGCCAAAGGCAGCTGACAAGAAAGTAAGCATGCCAGCTCCAGAGCTGGTGGACTTCCCCTGACCCACCATGTTGCAGGAATGGGAGCCTGCCCCAGTTTGTCCCACCTCGCACCCTCTTTTGGTCATTGTGGCTGGTGGTGTAGTGGTTAAGAGGGGTAGACTCGTAGTCTGGTGAACCGGGTTCGCTTCCCCGCTCCTCCACATGGCAGCTGCTGGGTGACCTTGGGCTAGTCACACTTTTCTAAAGTCTCTCAGCCTCACTCACCTCACAGAGTGTTTGTTGTGGGGGAGGAAGGAAAAGGAGAATGTTAGCCACTCTGAGACTCCTTCGGGTAGTGATAAAGCGGGATATCAAATCCAAACTCTTCTTCTTATTCTTCTTGCAGACCTCCTTCTGCATGGGCGGAGGGGAGATGCATCTTGCCCTGACACCCAGGGACTATGGGATTGCACCCAAAGGTATCATGAAAATGCTGTTCAGTCTGCTAAGTTCTCAACCCAATATCAAATTACATTATTGCTTATGAAGTGGGCAGAGGCAACAAGACTGAGAACTGAAGATGCCACACCACTGGATGAACCGTTTTCAGTTTCCTTGCCCATATGGTGTATATAAAGCCACCCGGTGTTTCACAGCTCCCATTAATAATCGGCTCAACAGGGTGACCTGCGAGACAACCTGGGCAAAATGGAAGCTCTGTCTCATCAGCATTAACCAGATGGGCACCTGCTTTCCCATACAAGGAAGAAGGATGGACTGTGGGCTTCAGTCCAAGGACACAGGCAGCAGTGCAGAAGCGAGCCTGTCAGATATATTGATTAGGGCCTTCCAGGGAAAGGCAGCTGCCTCCATTTCCAAGTTTCTCATCTCAGGACTGCGGCTAGCAAAAGGGAATGAGGGCAATCTGAAATAACTCTCTGCTAGGCTTTTGCTCCTACTATTGTGAAGAGCAATTGCACAGGCAATTGCCATTTAATTTCATATTTTGTCGGCTGCAGAGGAAGCCTCACCACGTGTCCTCGGAAGTAAGCCTTAGTGAATTCACAGGGGCTTACTCCCAGGTAAGTGGGGTGAGAATGGCTGCCTCAGTTATTGAAGGATTTTTAGTCCGTGTAGGGCAACGTCTTTCCAAAGCAGCTGGCATCAAACATATAGACACAAGATATAATAAGTGTTTATTAGGGCTGACAGAGCCTCACTAACCTGATCCAGGAGCTCAAATTGCCCCCAAGTCAGTCTGGGGAACACATGACCTGTACCCAGTTCTGAATAAATTCAGGGACAGGGCTAATGTTAATTACACTAAAGAACCATAAAAAAGGAAATGCATCACTAAAAAAGACGATGCACATCCCATACCACACAACTGTCCCATTTTAGGAGGGACATCCTGGATTTACAGAAGCCACCGCAGCTTCTGATTGCAATCCCAGATTGTCCCATTTTGGCTCCTGTGCTCTGGCATGAATCAATAATAATAATAATAATAATAATAATAATAATAATAATAATAATTTGTATCCCGCCCATCTGGCTGGGTCTCCCCAGCTACTCTCGGCGGCTTCCAACGAAGATTAAAAATACATTAAAATGTCACTCATTAAAAGCTTCCCTAAACTGGGCTGCCTTCAGATGTCTTCTAAATGTCAGGTAGTTGTTTATTTCTTTGACATCTGCTGGGAGGGTGTTCCACAGGGTGGGTGCCACTACCGAGAAGGCCCTCTGCCTGGTTCCCTGTAACTTTGCTTCTCGCAGTGAGGGAACCACCAGAAGGCCCTCGGCGCGAGACTTGTGTCCAGGCAAAATGATGTGGGTGGAGATGCTCCTTCAGGGCCAAGCTGCTTCACACCAGAGTGCAGGACCCAAAAATGGAGCCCGTGCACCAACCACCTTCCAGCCAACGTACCTCCGGAAGCCAGCGCTGCACCTCAGGAATCAGCACCGGCTTTGGGAAGTATGGCATTGGCTATGATGTAGGCCGTGGCTGTGGTGGTGCTGCACTGGTTGTGGGAAAACAAATACAAAACCTTATTTTGTTGTTGTTGTTTAGTCGTTTAGTCGTGTCTGACTCTTCGTGACCCCCTGGACCAGAGCACGCCAGGCACTCCTGTCTTCCACTGCCTCCCGCAGTTTGGTCAAACTCATGCTGGTAGCTTCGAGAACACTGTCCAACCATCTCATCCTCTGTCGTCCCCTTCTCCTTGTGCCCTCCACCTTTCCCAACATCAGGGTCTTTTCCAGGGAGTCTTCTATTCTCATGAGGTGGCCAAAGTATTGAAGCCTCAGCTACAGGATCTGTCCTTCCAGTGAGCACTCAGGGCTGATTTCCTTCAGAATGGATAGGTCTGATCTTCTTGCAGTCCATGGGACTCTCAAGAGTCTCCTCCAACACCATAATTCAAAAGCATCAATTCTTTGGCGATCAGCCTTCTTTTTGGTCCAGCTCTCACTTCCATACATCACTACTGGGAAAACCATAGATTTAACTATACGGGCCTTTGTTGGCAAGGTGATGTCTCTGCTTTTTAAGATGCTACTAAGGTTTGTCATTGCTTTCCTCCCAAGAAGCAGGCGTCTTTTAATTTCGTGACTCCTGTCACCATCTGCAGTGAACAGAG